GTTTCTATACTTGCCAAATCAAATTAGTAATATCGATGAATATAAAAATGTATATACTCGGTTAAATGTCTGCATATATTCGTTTACACAACAGCTGGCCTGTTTAAAGTTTACATTAGTCGCAGCAAAGTAATAAAATTTAATTTTGCGTATCTGTGTTAGAACACGCGAGCGATAGGTGCCTATCGGTAAAGTAACAGTAACTAGGTCTCGAATGAATAATACTTAGAGCTAAGATGAATATCATTAGCTTTAGCAAAGTTATAGTTCTTAATACTGATCTTTTTACTAAAGAAATACGAGTTGAGTATCACACATCTCCTTCGAGGTTTTTGAAGTGAAACTTCTTTATCGAGGTTGGAAAAAAATTTAGTGTAACATTTTTTCGTTACGAGTCACATTTTTCGGTTACGCGCCATGTTGCTTTTTGAAGTCAAACTTCTTTATCGGCGTTGGAATGAAACTTCTTTATCGACGTATGGGAGAAATTTTGTAGCAAATCGTCACGTTTTTCAATGATAGTAATAATTCTATTACAATTAATGAAATCCTATAATAATCTTCGTAGTAATAAGGTAAAATGAAATATTTGTATTCATGTCTATGATAATAAAAGCCTTTTGTTAAACTTTATCTAATTTAACGAATTTCTGTAAAGTTGCATAATATAGTAGATCATTTTTCGAAAAATAAGATCATAAAGAAGTTTCACTTCTTACGTGTGTACACCTAGTACACGCACAATTTATTTTTAAATATTCTATAGACAATATGGAATTTGTAATATATATATGTAAAGTAGAGCCCACAAATGGGGCATAGCACAGACATCGTCTGATCCGTTCATCATTACAGCGAACGTAGCTTATCATTATTCCTAAATCTAACCTAGGCCCGAATAAAGCAATCGCGTAGAAATATGAAAAATTCTGTGAAAACATACCCTGTATTAGTTAACAGTTTAATACAAGAGTACAAAATCTGGTAAAAAAGGATATCTTTATTATGTGATGGAAGTATCTTCTAAATTGAACATTGACCAACCAATTTAATCTCTATATTTTAAATAAACAAATGATTGGTTGCCTGGAAGAGATCGCTCGAAAGCGATAAGGCCGCCAGTTGCTCTCCTTTTTATTTAATTATGTCAATTGTACTATATTTATGTATATGCAACGAAGTGTTAATAAATAAATAATAAATAAATAAACAAGATATTAATCGATACTATAAACAAAATCTAGTTTGATCAAATCGTTAAACTCGTATGTACTCCATTATTGTTATATTACATTATTGTTTTAACAGATTTTAAATAATTATTATTTTAATTAGGTTCGAAAATTGTTTTAAAAAAATATATATAATTGTACCTACTTACTAGTCACCTTAAAATTATAAGATGTAAAATTGTTGACGAATTGAAGTGACTTTAATGCCGAGTTAAACTCGTTTAGTATATGAAATATGCACCTGGCAATCATGTTGGTCGTGATAGGAGCTGACCAGTTGGCTGACGTATTCCCAAACCTCACCAGGAGCCGTCCAGGGTGCAGGTGTTGCTTCGTGTCTCATCATGCATCACTATTCACTACAGCCACTGAATAACTATAAACCATCACACTCAAACTAGTAGATCTATTTATATTGTTTTATCCTCAATCACGCGCAACTAGGTCGCGATCTACATACACGGCCTCACGATATAAGTTTGTAAACAATAATACTTAATACTATTTAATAATTAAAAAGATTCAGTATATGGTGTTCGGCTAAAATCTAGGTAAACAATATGAATAATGAAATTTTATCCTGCAATAAAATGATCTGAATTGTTAAGTCTCACAGTGAAATGAGTAATTTGCAGTGTTGCGCGCAATCACTGAACGAATCCATCGGCTCTGCCCGAATGGCAATGATAACGCGCGACCTTGAGTCGGACTAAGTAATTGATAAGAGAATTTTGGCAATGCTTAAATCTTTTCCTTATCAAACTGTTTACTTTGCATTTATAAGTGCCACCGCACTCATTAAACCAACCGTTGACTTCACTCAAATTAAAAATTATATTGTTTACCCACGATATAGCTTTAACTAACACTCAAAAGTGCAACAAGGCACCAATAAACACACACAATACACACAAAAATTTCAGTCACTAATTTCCAAGTCCATAACTTCAACCAACGATCGTAATATCGTGCGCATGAAACACCGCGTACGCAAACGTGAGACGCGCGCGCGCTTAACTAGCTCGCTAGCCGCTAATGGCGCGACGCGTATTCGCGACCCCCACTCTGCCACTGTTCGCGCTATCAAACCAGTTTACGTGAAAAATTTTAATTCCTTAGCGCGGCGACGACCGGTCGCGCTTTCCTCGCACCGGCCTCCCCCGCGAGGAAAAGCACAGCGCCCCCGGGGCCGCCGGAAGTGCAAGCCCGGCACGCGAACCGAGCGCACCCACCGCCTTAATTAAAACCTGCACGCCGCACACCTAAGCTACCCTTAATACAATTGCATTTCACCATTACACAACTGTATCAATTTTATTGAGATTTAATACGTCGTGGAACGAAATATTATCATATCAATGTGGTGAAAATATTCCTGATTTCAATGTCAATATTTTTTTATTAATTATGTAAAGGATGACATAAATTTATTTAACATATTCATCGTCTTGAGCTTTCAATCTGGGTAAAATCTTAGCATTCTATTATTTTTAGTCTTCATAAAATTAAATATAATAAAAAGCATTAATTTTATACCGTCTTCAAAATTTGATTGCAATATAAAAGCAATAGAAACACGACAAATCCATCAACAAAAGAATAGTATTAACAAGCGAAATGTGAATGACCCTGCTATTAAATGTGTAGTAGGCGTTGCTAATTTAAATATTGATTTTTCACGACTATTACAAATCTGTCGACATGTTTTTATTTCTCCGTGTCTAGAAATTCCCCATTTAAAATTCAATTTAACTAGGTGTAGGTAGAATAAAAATAGCAATCTAGGACACGTGTTGGCTACTTCTGTAAAGTAACAGTTTACTGTAATGCGGTATTAATAGCACTGTAATTAGTTTCGCTATTTCATTTAACATTGATTGAGCAGAAATTAAATTACTATTATACACACCCACTATTATGAAGTAAAGGCTCCTCTGTACTAACTAAATTTAATCTCGGTAAAACATAATTAGATATACAAGGACAATAGATTGATCACATAAGATAAATATCAGTGTGAATTGCATATATATATATATACTCAGTCCTCCAACATAAATCTACCATTCTATAGGTTTCAATAGGTTTAGGAAATCGATGTATACGAAAATAAGGCCAGGAATGCAAACATGGTACAACTTTCTCCTTGCGACATAAATCAACCACATCAATAGTCGTGAAACAATTGCTTTGTTTAACTAAGCACTTGATTCTAGATTCATAGTTGTAATAGAATTATTAATAAATTATAATATGTTGCTTATACAGAAATATTTTATTTTTTCTATTAATTTTTTTTAAATCTACGAGGCTTTTGTTGAAAATTAAAATTGAAAAAGTATGAGTAATGTGTAATGGTGTCTCTATACTACCATTAAAATTTAAAATTGAAGACCTAATGTGGACTCTTGCTAAACAAAAAACGTCATGCCATTGACGCAATTTTAAAATGTTAAGTACGTCAACGGTACATCTGTTATTCCAAATATCATTAACAATGTAGCTTCTTTGCAAGCCCTTGAACAATAAAATATTCTTTTCAATATTTTTATTGTCCGAGTTAATACGCCGAGTGTGGTAAATAAAATATGTATGAATATAACTGTATTAGATTAATACACAAAGAAAAGTGGGGTACCTTTTGAGATCTGAGCCATAGGTATTAGGTAACCCTTCGTATACATTAATAGTCCCCCAAGTTACAAAATAAAGGGTAAGAAACACAAAGTAAAAAATACACTTATTGGTAATAAGGTGATACGAAGCATGATTCACTAAAAGAAAATAAAAAGAATAAATCAGTGTTACTTTAAATTGTTTCATGCAAACTGCTCATTGCTTTTATAATAAGGTTTTATAATACAATTATATAATTTAGTTAAATTGCGTATTTATATTTGATCACTAATATATAATACAATAGTTGCTAAATTAGTTTACAAGTAAAAAAGGAAGATTTATAATGAATTCCTATTTATTTTATTGCATATGAGCGTTGGCAAACCTTAGGAGTTTTAAGACTTAGATATAAAATAGGTTGGTAGTATTGAAATATTTTCAGTCTTGAAGTATATAGTTATAGTGTTTGGCTTGTAAGACATTAAAATGTAGGCCCCATCTGCTGTAGCTATTTCAAGGTTTCATAGTGTAGTTACATAACGGCATATGTAACTACACTATGAAATTTTTAATGTGTTGTGCTGTGCTTGACTGACCTTTTTAAATATTTAAGATAATAAAATATAACTACAAAAAATATTTATTAAGACTGAAAACATGTTACGATCATATTCTGGTCTGAAATAGATTTTTTTTGGAACATATACTTCCAGTGGAGTAATAAACTATGTATAGGTTTTCATGAATAAGACGATACACTTTTATTTTAAAATAAAGTTTAAATGAGGTTTGAACTGAAATAAGTTTAGCTCTATCATAGCACTATGAATATTTCCTAACTGCTTTTTTTTCACTTTTGTTTTACACGAATAACAAACAAAATATTTTATTTTAAATAAACATTCCTCCAACTCCAACAGATAATTTTGTATAATTCTATATAATATTCAAATATTAGTTAATAAACAGTTCAAGTGAAAACCTATATAAAGTATATTTTTTAATCACACATACAAACAAACCTATTTAACCAGTATCATTGCAGTATAGAAACTGACCACTAGTATGTATGCTCAAATTGAACAAGACATGGTGCAGGAAATATTTTGTTTGTGTTTAACTTGCTCATGACATATATATGCATTATTGTCATTTCAATAAACTTGATAATCCACACCGTAATGATGTCTCAACAAGAATTGTAAAAAATAACAAAGTACTAACCTTGGCCCGCTGACGTCCCTGCCTCTTCCCTTCTTGGCTAGACTCATCACACTTAGTCTTCTTCACAGTAGATGTACTTTTACATAACTTGTCCTTGACTTTTATGTCCTTTTCACTACCCTCACAGTCACTCTTTACACTTGTTTTAACTTTTACTGAGTTTTTTGATGGTAAGGATTTTTTAACAGCTTTCAATGGCAAATCATCTTCACTTGATGTTGCAGACGAGCATTTGCTACATGATTCTGAGCTGGAACTACTCTCTGACAGCTTCTTTTTAGATTTCTCATTCTGTCTTTGCTTTGATATAGTTTCATTACTTTTCTTTCTTACTGTAGGCTTTGCTGATTTTTTAGGTGTTACTTTTCTTGGTATTGCAGCAATTTTAAGTTTAAGCCCAGTATCACAAGATGTAACTGAGAAATGTGGTTTCCTAGTGTTCACTTGCTTTGAACCAGAACATTCCCAGTCACTTCCTGATGTGTCACTAGAACTATTCTGCAATGGAATAGAATTTTAAAGTTTTTAAATGGATTACATTTTTTATACCACTAAAATTGATGTTATAAAAAATATATTAATAAATATATTTTACCTCAGAATCACTGTTAGAATCTGAATCACCACTTGAATCATGTGTTTTTGGCACTTCTGTGCCCATTTCTGTAAAACATAAAACTATGAGTCTCCATATAATAACACAATTTTATTAACATTTTAGGAGTGAAGGTTTTTAACAAATCAATTATAAATGATAGGTATATTGCTGGCTGAGGCTATATACAATGAAAAACCAATTATGTAAAGTTATGATAAAGGATTATAAATGTGTCTTCGTTGTTAAGTAATCAAAATTTCATTGTATAAGTCATGTTGAAGTCTAAAATAAGATCGAACGCACAGGATATCGTATTATGGGACACTTACTTCAAGGTTGGTCAAGATACTCCGAAGAAAAGTACGACGTAACTCTTCATTTCAATCAAATAATGGTGTAAATAAACATTGCAGAACTGCTGTACACTGAAATAAATAAGAAAACATCTATTTTACGCTTAAAGAAGCTTTCAATTTTCCTTCAATTTGTCCAAATGACAGATCTGACGACACCCGTAGGACCAGTTTTTCTTGAGGAAGCATCATATAATTTTGGTCTTACAACACTTATAGTTGATTTTTCGCACACAAATACAAAGATAAACAATAATCAGCCGTGATTATGTAGAAAACAATTAGCGTTTAACGGTTTTTGGCTACATTGGCGCCAAACAATGCCTACGTTTCAGTCGTAGATCAAAATAACAACTTTCCTATCTCAGTTTTACAGTCGATTATTAGAGTGTTTAGTATTCGTATTTCTACTAACCGGCACACAAACTTAAATAAACTTGCTTTTGTGGAATTACTGTGATCTAAATACACAAGTTCTTATGTGCACAATGCTTGGCCTCCATGTTTACAAATCTTTTACATAAAAATTTTGTGTTGATCACAGATTATAGTCTTGATTGTAGGTATTACCACAGGTATAAATAAAGATTTTTATAATTTTAGCAAGGAGCACTTTTTATTCTGCATCGAAACAGTACTTTCGAGACAATACTTTAATAGGTACTAGGTAGGCAAAAAAGTCTTTCTCCAGTAGATTGTCTTAATCACTTTCTGATACAAACTTCTTAATTCTCTCGAAATAAGTAAATTTTGAAGAAATTAGATATATTTTAATATCCTTTCTCTTTAAATCCTACCACCAGGCTGGATGGCGCAAAGGGCTTCCACTGTGAGCTTTTATTGCGTTCGGTCTTGAGGTCTTTCAGCTCACTCGAAGTCTTCCCGTCGCCAGGATTTCAATTTCCAAATTATAATATCATAAATAGCAACCAATGGCAGGAATTTTATATTACTTTTAATCTTTATATTATTTATATGTAACGGCTAAGGCTGTCTTGCTCGATTCTTAGTTAGGAGTAGTCGTAGTTAACATTAACTTTAATCAAGTCGAACGGTTTTCAACGTTCTACACTATTTCAAGTTTGTGACAATTAACAACTTGATCTTGACAATGCATTCTTGTGACATTGATCTATTATAATTTAATATTTAAAAAAATCGGTTCAATTTTGTGGATTGTAAATTGTAATTGGCAGTTGGCAGTTGCCAGTAAATTTACTTTTACACTAAGTTCTTCTGATTTACACAGATGTCGCCATTATAAATAAAGTGAAGTGAAGTTCTTCTGCAGGAGATAATTCTCATTTCTCAAAGTTATAAATTATAATTATTGTCATTATTTTAAAATAGTCTCCAAAGTTATTCTAAGAATGTTTTATCATACTTTAAATACGCTTAACTGAAACCTAAAGCTGTGAATTCTACCTTTGATATACATATTTTATTATTGTATATTTCGTATTTTCTAACAAAGTGTAAAAGTGATAAATTGTGTAATTGAACAAGTTATAAATAATTCTTATTACCTCTGAGTTTATGGTTTATTAAAAAATCAAATGGAAGACCTTCAAGTTTGGCAAGATTTATCTAATATACCTGCTGATCCACCAGTAATGCGAGAGCGGTGTCAAAAATGCGAGTATGAATTCTTATGTTATATGTTTGCAATATATTTTCTCTTAAAATATTAATAATATTTAATGGCTGGGGAATACATTTTGTTACAAATAAAATTAAAACATTCAATGCAGGTTATCGATTTAGAAATACATATTACATTTCTAAAAATTTTGTTTTTTATTGCATATAGGTTTTTGTTATAGCACTGTATATATATGTAGTTTATACAACAAAATATTTTTTCAGAAGGCCATCTGCTGTTTGTTGGTGTGCTGCATTGCCCCCAGAAAGGTTACATCCCCATAGTACTATAATCCTTTTGCAACATCCAGCTGAAGAGAAAAGATGTCTTCGAACTGCTCCAATGCTACAACTTGGACTAGCCGAAGACAAGTGCCTTATATTTAAAGGGAAGAAGTTTCCTCAACCTCGTCATGAAAGCTTAGAGAAGATTTTAGCTCATGAAAATACTGTGCTTTTATACCCAAGTAAAGCCGCTATAGACATAAAAGAACTTGACAATAACTATAAATCATATAACATAGTATTAATTGATGGCACATGGCCACAAGCAAAAGCAATTTATGCATCAAGTACTATATTGCAAAGAATACAACAAGTAAAGCTTGTTACATCTAGTACAAGTAACTACATAATAAGGACACAACCAACAGAAGGCTGTTTAAGTACACTAGAAACTGCTGCAGAAGCACTCTCTCAACTTGAAAGGAATTCAATTTATAGGCAGCAACTAATTGAACCTTTGCATATGCTGTGCAAATTCCAATTAGAAAATGGTGCTGTTACACATCAATCAAAAGAATTTTTAATTAAAACTAAAACATATCCTAAGTTGATAGGTAAAAGGTTATCTAAATTACTACGACAAACTGAAGATTATGACGAAAGTCAAAATAAAACTTGAATCTAAAAGTCTTCGTTTTATTTAACTCTATGTGTCACTAGTTCATAGGATTGTTTGATGCTTTACACTTGTCTATCCCTGGCAATAGGGTTGACATTTCTAAGTAAACATTCAAATTATTTTTAATCAGATTTTAACTAATTTAATAAACTGAACTTTTACTTTGGGTTGGGTTTAGAACTAATCTAGTAATTAATTAGTCGCCCTAATGTAGGTGTCTCGGGGGACCTTGATCGGAACACCTCCAATTGATTTTTGCTGCCGGAGTTGCGAACAAGTATTAAAAAAAATATTTAAAATTTTGTGTAATGTATTGAAATTCGTTTACAAACCATACATTTTCTACTTTTCTATTGGTTATTAGAGATTTGATATTCTGCGTAAAAATCGGTTTTTAAATTAATCGATATTTTTTTAGCAAGAAAGTCGATTAATAAAATTTTTTTTCATCAATCGGGCGATGGATTTCTAAATCGTTGCCTTTACTTTTTTAAATTGTTTTTAAGGGTTAAATGTTGTGTTTTTTTAAAGTAATTAGACTATCGCTATGTGATTTACAATGTATAGACGCTATTTGACAGTATACAAAATTAAGTGTGAGTGAACTGTGAAAGTAATCTGTATAAAACATAACTTCTAAAAGCGTTAAATAACTTAAAATGATATTTATTTAACAAAAAATCCACAATTTAAAATATTGATTTCATGTCCGATTTTATACGACAATTATATGTATGTATGCAGTATGCACAGATTAATCAAATATATTTATTTTTGTAATTTAAGAATGATAATTAACATGTAAAAAAACTTTTATTAACTTGTTTATAAGTATTGTACGTCTTAAGGCGTCGTACGAAGACAACTTGCCACTCAGAAACGCTTTGGCAGAGTCAGATTCTTAAAGTTATTTATTAATTTTTTTGTGATTAGTGCAACTTTTATGGTCCCCTAAAAATTATCAAGAAATAGGTTTTATTGTGCGTTTTCCAATTACAGCACTAGAGCGCATTATGCGGCATAATGCTCAACGTTGAGTGTTCCAACTACAGCAACGCTTCGCACAATTGAGCACTCTCAAAACGAATGCTCTCGCGTGCTTCTCGCAAACAATACCAACACAGTGACAGAAAATTGACCAGTATTTTTCTTTAAGTTGGCATTTATTGAAATTTTCGTTAGTAAATATTATTTATTGTTGAAAAATTTGTAAGGCGAATACGATTTGTTTCATCGTAGATTTTGAAAATAATTAAAGTTATTTCAAACTGCTAAAAAAAATAAATATTAGTATGGATGGAGGTATAAATAGTTACTTTTTTTATATTCCACATTTAAAATATGAATACAATTTTATTTTAAAATTCGGATCTGTAAACAAATTTATTTTACAGGATTATAGTTTAGAAAAAATTGCAATGGTTTTGAAAAAGTATATAATTTTTTTAGAAATCATTAAAAAATATTACTCAAAACGTAAATGATGTAAACTTCTTACATGAAACTAAATATTTTACTGTTAATTTAGCTTGTTAAAACCTTATATTCTTTAAAGGTTTTCTATTATTTCAATAAAAAAATGTTAATGAAATAATTTGATGATTAAAATAAGTGTAAAAAGTTTTGAACCAATTATTATTGTTTACCACATTATTTATACATTAATGAGGTTGCTAACTCAATTCATAACATTTTTTTTACAACACTGACTTAGCGCACTCTGCTGATGCATTTGAAAACTAATTCACGTTCCAATTAAGCTTCAGCATTATGCTGCATTGTGCGGCACTGAGTCGCATAATGCTCTGTAATTGGAAAACGCACATAAATATGTCAAAACCATTATCAGCTGTCTGAGTGCCGAACAGCGTTGTCAAATGTGGAATGATAAATGACAGTTGATATGCCAAATCCACAATTGTAGGATGTCAACGTCATAGATTTCTTTTCGTTTTGTCATTTGTGTTGAAACATGGCTGAGGTTCGTAAAATATAAATTTTCTGAAATAAATCTGTTCCAACTACCATAATCGGCTATAGTTTTGTGAACTAATTAATAATGTCGGTCCCGGTTGTCGGTAGAGGATCTTTATTAAGTGATATTTTCATGAGTGACAAGTGGTGTTTACATTTTCCAGGTCGACGAAACTTTGAAGAAGAAGCGTACCTTCAGGAAGTTTACCTTCCGAGGGGTTGACTTAGATCAGCTTCTGGATATGCCCAAGTAAGTACTATTCTGCTCTGTATGTGAAATATATTGTCTTAATTTTTTTTTACTCGTGTAACATTTGTATCACTCGGATTAGTGTCATCTATTTACTTTTAGGATCTCCACATAATTATATTCAGTACATATTACTTACTATTTGACAAGTATTTATATGTTATTGTCCCTTGTGTTCTTTTCATTAACTATCCTAACCTTAAAACATGTATTTTGCAGTGAACAACTCATGGAGTTAATGCATGCCCGCGCTCGCCGGCGATTCGCGCGTGGTCTTAAGAGGAAACCAATGGCGCTGGTAAAGAAACTGCGCCGTGCGAAGAAAGAAGCACCACCAAATGAAAAACCCGAAATTGTAAAGACACATTTACGGAACATGATCATAGTCCCAGAAATGGTCGGATCAATTGTGGGGATTTACAATGGAAAGACATTCAACCAGGTATAATTGTATCTTATTTAAGTCCCACAGAATCTTAAATTAGATGAGAATTCAACAAAAAAAATATACTGTGCATAGAAATACAATGGCAAAACACTAACATCCTCATATCTACATTTGACTACATATAAATTTCACAACCCACTATATCTATATAATTTATCATGAAATCACTAGCTAAAGCTGACATTGCCATAATTGAATCCTTAACTGTTAAAAATTTTATACTAAAACTTTCTAATCTAGGTTTTTTGGTGACTGATTTTTTTTTGTGATATATATAAATATTAAATAATAACCACTAATTTGTTTTTTGGTAAAAAATTTCACAAAATTTGAGAGGAGTTCAGTCTCAAATATTATTTAGCATTACTTCTATCTTAATAATATTTAACTTTACTATATTAAAATCTGAAGTTATTAGCCATTTGTTAGTAATTTATTTTGAGAGATGATTTTCTTATTTAGGTATTATTCATATTGTTACTTAACATATGGTGAGCCTCCAGTCCATTTGCCTATATATATATTTATAAATTAATCAAAAAGACTTATTTAGTGACATGACATTTATTAATTTCAGGTTGAAATCAAGCCTGAGATGATTGGCCACTATCTTGGAGAATTTTCAGTCACATACAAGCCTGTCAAGCACGGTAGACCTGGTATTGGTGCCACCCACAGCTCCAGATTCATTCCTCTTAAGTAGGATGTCTTTCTCCTAGGTTTAAGCTATTAAAAAAGTGTTTGCAACAATAAATGATTGTAAACAATAATTTTCTGTTTCATTTCTATTTTGTGGATTTTGCTTTTACCTAAACATGCATTTAATTATAAAGTTGTTTTTATTTAATTATAAACTTTAACTATAGATCTTTAATGATATTGGTACTAGTGAAGTATTCATCTCTATTGTATGTTTGTAAAATTTATATAAAAAAATAAATAGAATGTTAATATTTTGGCTAGAAGTTGTGATATTATACAATTAAAGTTTTGAGGGTCTTAGCTATAAAGTACCTACCGCATACTTTTAATTTTGTTATGTTGCATAATTATATTATTATTGTTGGTTTTGTAAATAAATTGTAAACTTGATAGACATCCAGGTAGACAAAACTGTAGTTTGTTTCCATTACTCTATTATAAACTATAACAAAATATACCATGTAGAGGTGCCGGATTTTTCCACTTTGTTACTGTATAATAATTAAACTGATTTTTATACCTACATATAATTTTAAAAAAGTTTACAAGGTTGTTGCGCCTGTTATATAAAAAGAGAAAAAAGTTTAACCGTGTCGCTGATCGTATTTAAACGTTATTTTTAAAATAATTGGTTATTAATCGTTAAACATCATACAATTGACATCTCGGTATGATTCATAAAAATACGAAGAAAATGAAATGCATACCTAGTTGATGTCTGATTAGTTTAATAATTCAAATGCATTCTCGATTGTGTCTGGCTTAAACTGCATTTAACCAATATGCGGCTATTCCGTCATTGACATCTTTGTTTGGTTAACATCTCTTTTGGTCTTGTATCCGTCTCCTAAAATGGATGTACGAATTATATATCATAAATTTTTTATCGATTCTCTATCGTCGTTTGTAGTATTAGCTGATTATTGACCTTGTGACTCACCTAATGCTTATAACTTTAAATAAATAAATTAAGAATGTGATTGTGAACTAGTCATATAACTCCTGACAACAAATGCAGAACGTAGGTAATGAACTATAAAGTTATCATGAAATAATAATTGATTTAAAAATATATAGTCACATCTACCGCAACAATATAAAACTTTTAGTATACGAGACATATTATATGTAGTATAGTTTAAACTAGTGACTAATTCTACATTTATGACTCGTATAATTTCCATTTATTAAGTTCAATAATAGCTTACGCGACTTTATCTTACGACTTAGCATGCATACTGTTTAATGAGACGACTATTACAAAATTATGCTTACCAAACCAAATTTCTTTATTGTTTTGTAATAAAAAAATAATTATTATTTTCCTTCCATACTTATCTTCTTTTTGGTGCATCATAAATACAATATACTTATTTGCCAATGTTTAAAAATTATTAAATGTAAATATCCTTTTGAAAACATTGACATGGGAGGTAACATATAGTGATTTTTTCTATTTACGTATTTTACACTATTCTATGATCGCATGAAACGTTATAAATTATATAAAATAGATAAATTTCCTCGTTAGTTCGTTAATACAGGTTAGATTAAGACATTTATTGTAGGGCATTGATATAGCTTCACAGAAACTATAAAATAAGTAACCCACCAACAAATATCCAAAGGCTTGACTAACTTGGAAAACTTCTCTGTTCTTATATCTGGTAACAAACAGTGTGTAAATCACGAATATCTTCGGTTCAAATCCCAAGGCAACGGCTATTATTTCGTGTTGGGAAGTGCGAAAGCTGCTTAATAGACACATGTATCGTTCCATTACGAGACTTGCAAGTAAACTAAAAATTCGTGTTATTCTAAATTCATTTAAAAAATTTAAGCTAAGTGGCATTCTGTTAGATGCAGCGGCTAGGTTTGGTAAGAACAAGACAGTTAAAATAAATAGAAACCTAAGAATAATTGTTATTGTAACTTAATACAATAAGACTATATAAAATAAGTACTTAAGAAATTATTGAGTTAGCTGTGCGCCGTACTCGTGTTCATATTATTATGCTTCGTGTCAGGGACGGGCTTAGAGTTCTGGAGGCCTCGGGGCAACAAAGGCATAGAGGCCCCACGTCCCAAATTTTTTTTCAAATAAAATGAACAATTATTTTCAGTGGGGAAAATTATTGTGAAACCAAGTAGATTCTTTTAGTATTTAACAAACAAACAAATACTAAAACTTGTTTAGGTACTAGTCGGAATTTTTTTCTTTTTCTGAAATCTCTATTATTTCCCCTGCTTTGTGGAGGCCCCGTATGTGGCCCCGGTTAATGTATATATAATGGTATATGATAAGCAGTAACCAAGCAAGGCCGTCAATGGAGGATATATCATATCCTACACCAGAGATTTAAGTTAAATTTGTCTAATACAGAAAATAACTTTTTTTAAAGTATCTTTCAATTGTGCGTTAAGTAACTCGTGTAACTTCATTCGCACTTCAAATTGTATGGTTGCATGATCTATACACTATATACATTAGTTATAACTATAATATCAACTTGCTACTTCTTTGGACCATGGACTCGAGTCGCCTTGGCGACAGTAGGTAACCGTAGGAGGATTGAACGGCTATTTTCACTAAAAATATACTGTAAAATACTGATTGTAAGCTTGCTTGTAGGATTCTCTAGAAATTCAATTCGATTAAAGTTGCCAAATATCATAATCGAACTAAACATGTTCACTATTTCTACTAAAATTATAAATCTAAAGAGTTAGGTTGTTTGTTAAAATGCGCTCAGGAACTACTAGTTTGATTAGTCCATTTATTGAGGAAAGACAAAAACTTTACGGCACGTAAAGGAAGTACCTTTACAGAAAAAAGTCTGTTATTAACATAACGTTTTTGTTAAAATTATCTCTATCAAAAGATGGCAAAATAATCTTTGTTGAACCTAAAAATATACTATGACGAGACTTATTAATTTCTGTAAGAGTTAAAAAACAAGACAAGGTAATCCACATCACACATGAGAGTATTAGGAATACTTTAGTACCTAAATATGTATCGCATAGTTGGAATTTACACAAATAAGGTTGTTTCGTTAAAAAGCCACGTTTTGAGAGCCAAAACATACACAAGTTCTCTGTATATCCTATTTATGATCGCTTTGAAATCGATTCTCTTTATATTGAGTAATAATAATTGAGTATGAGCGAATCACTAAAAATAAAGATATGGGAGCAAAGTTTGGATCGTTCCCGAGTCGAAACTGGTAGAAATCTCGTGCCAACTAGATCTAATGATTATTGTAATTAAAAATGTTTGTGCGAGTAAGGGCGCCATAACTTTATATATTTGCGTGCGTAAAGCCTTAGCGAGTCTGATGCGACGACTGCGTTGGCGTTCGCACGCGTCCACTGTTCGCAATTTTCCTTTGCAAAATATATTATGACTAACGTATATCGTTTGGGCTTATAAATACGAAAACGGGTATAACATTTTTTAAATAAAAGTGATGAGTGAAAGGAAGAGAAGTGACCATATCTCGTGTTTGTTAAAAAATAAATCGGGTAAATATTTAATTTATATGAACTTTTATTTTATTTATAAATAATATACCACTGTTCCTTTTGTGCCTGACCTTAGCCTTCCTAAAATTTTCATGAATCATGGAACATACATAATTTTTAATATTTTGCTATGAATTGAATTGCTAAGAAATAAGATTTTGGCTTTAATTTAAGAAATATAAATTAAATAAGAATAGGTTTTAGAAGAAACATATAATGAAGCGCTGATTAATTAGAAATAACCTTTTAATAATCAAATTGCCCTCTGTGGGGCGTGGGCCCCACGATGGGAAAACTACTTACAGTTTTTGTCTATTTGAATATTTTTTTTATTCAACGCTTATAATATTAAACCTGTTAACTATTAAGAAATAAAATATGTATAATTATATAAATAATTAATTCTGGCTTGACTTGATTTTTTTAGCTTACCTTCCAAAACTACTAGGGTTTTATGTCAGCATTTTGAAGATTCTAAAGTGTTAGTGAGTTTGAATTATACCTAATAATATTCCTTCTATGATATTCCTATTTGTTTCATGTCAAATAAAATTTAAAATTCAACTTGAATTACTGTCAAACGTCATTGACGTATCTTCATTTTATTGGTATATTTTAATAAAATTAAACATTTTATATATTAAAAAAATTATGTTTTAACTAATTTCTGAAACCACAAAGAATTAATATTAAGAATTTAAATAAGTTTATATTGATTCCACATACGTATTTATACATTTCGCTAACTTATCATACCTAACTTTTAAACAACTAAAAAAAAGTTAAAACCTAAAGATATCATGATTAAAACAATATATGAATTTTAGGTCTAGGTCAAGAAGAGTACTCAACAAGATCCTTTTATATTGATATCAAATAGATAATTAACCAGTGTTATCTTGATTATAATAAATTTGTCATCTCGAATGGAGTCAGAAAAATAATTTGGTCTAATATTTTATGATTTCATTATTAATATAAAATGTATAGTGTTTTATTTAAGAGGGTCTTAACTTGTGGTCGCTTAAATAGTCTCTATTTCAGAGTACCCTCATTGCAACTTTGAATGTAGAATAACGAATATCAAAGAGAAAAGTAAACAAATTCCAAATGACTTCAATAACAGAAAAATAAATTATTGTAAAATCCAGTTGGACAGTATATAAACAAGTTGTGTCTGTTTAGTGTCTATGGGATATTCCTGTATATTTAACGATATGAAATACGAAATTATATTAACATAAAGTAAACAGGAAATTATATATATTTGGCATCGTTTTAAAATATATGGGCATAACTAATATATATTTTAGTTTCCTCCATTGTTTAAATAGTTAAACGCGTGGAATATAATGCGTTATAGCCAATTTGACTGAGTTAAGAAATTTGATTATTCTTTTAATTAACCGTTTTGCGTTAAAAGACCGTTTGTGCTTGTCTATTAGGGCACTACGGGACAAACTAAATAAGAAACTT